TGATAACCCCTCATTTAATAATATAATAGAGTATTATTCAGTCATAAAAAGGAAAAAAAATCCTTCCATCTGCAATGAATGGTTTGAATTTGCTGGAATTATACTACGTGAAAAAGTAAGAGCAAGACAAATACTGCATGTTTTCACTCATATGTGGACTAATAAAACTGAACTCAGCAATAGAACAGATTAGCAGTTGCTAGAGGTGGGGGAGGAAGAATAGGGGAAACTGACAGAAGTAGTCTAAAGGTACAGACTTTCAGTTATAAGAAAAATAAATTCTGGAACTATAATGTTCAGCATGATGACTATAGTTATTATATTCTATATTTGAAATCTGCTAACATATCTTAAAATTTCACATAAAAAGAAATATGGGACCGTATGAGGCACTGAATTTTAACAAAATTATTGTGAAAATATACTATATACTTTAAACTTACATATATTAGATGTGACTTATATTTCAATAAAAACAACAAGCAATCAAACAGAAAAGCATGTCTCCCCACAAAGACAATTAAAATTCCATAAAAAATGTAGGTAACTGTTACTCTATCAACAAGTTCATGCTGAATATGTGTTATGAAAAGTGATAATGCCTAGAGGGTGAATAACATGCAACATTCAGCATAGTTTGGGCCATCAAAAAGACTCCTAGTTAGGTGAAATACAGTTCCCATGAAATGACTACTTTGGGGGTCACACAGCATGTACTTAAGCATTACAGCCACAAGAGACTAGGATTTCATAATCCCAAACAGAACCAAGAACTCTTTAACTATGGACATGAATTATCAATGTGACAGGAACGTCAGGAATGGGAAAGTTCAGTGAGAACCCCTGTGACCTTACAAGCCATAAAAGGTGGCAGCATTGGACTGGATCTAGAAGGCAGCACTCACTGCTTGTGAACAGGTAAAGAAGTAAGCATGTAGTATTTTGCCATACCAGACTTACAGACTCATATTCTCAAAATAAAGATCTGGGGAAGAGAGAATAAATTGGAAGCACAGGAGAATTTTAGAATCCTCTTATCTCATGTGAAATAATACATACATACATACACACAGACACACACACACATACACGCTAACCAACAAAATAAAATCAGCACTCTAAGCAGTGACAGTGAATTTTTACACCTTGGTTCTAACCTGTCAGGTTTTCAATTGTTTGTGTGAATAATCTACACTATAATATTCTTTTCTTTCTCTGTTGGCCTAAGGATATGGGTAGTAGGGCCCTTTGAAATATCAGATAAAAAGGAAAAAAGAAAAAAAAAACTATGTTAGGTGAAAAATATGAGAATAATGTTCTGTCAGGAAAATGATAACACAGGTGTCCAAAACAAGACAAAAGTAGAACACACAGGATAAAGGAAATCTCAGATGCCACAAATCAAAAGCCTTTCAGAAATGTGTAAATATAGTAGACTTCTTGCTGTGATTGCATGGATCCTACTTGATCACAGGTGGGCCAGTTAATCAAAATGCCAGTCTACAGAATCAAAAAATGTTCCTCCTGCCCATTCTTGCTCCAGGCACAGGGAGCACATAATGGAAGTGAAAGGGTGAAACTTAAGCCAGACTGTGGATTTTATTGCCCACTTGTTGACTGCCAGCTGTATAACATTTCTTCTTTGGGCCTAAGTGTTCCAATTTGTAAAATAGATGCAAGGATTCCCTCTGAAAAGCACTGTAATAACAGCTAAGTTTGCAAATACGGTATATGTGTATCTGACATATAGTAAATAACCTGCATTTTTAAAAAATACATTTTTGGTAGGGCCAACTTGACTTCCTTGCCTAAATATCCTCCAATGTCTATTCTTTTTAATCATCAAATACATACTTTATGAGTTATCTATGATTTCTAGGTTTTGTTTTCCTTAATGTAGACCATATAAAAAGCAATTTGTATTCAGAAGCCTTCAATAGTTAATCTGATTCTGTAAACTTCATTTGACCAAATTTTTTGAGACTTGCCTTTATAGATCCTTTTGAAACATTCACAGAAACAACTCTTTCTGTGTCACAGTCCATTGATTTATGTAATAGTTCAAAAATTTCATAATTATCAAGATAAATACTGCAATTATAAACACACTGAGTTTCAGAGGCAACTCATTCATAATAAGAGTATCACTCAACTGGTGAAAGAAGCAAGTGTATTCAGAACAGAGTTCCTTACTCGCTGTAAATGACCAGGAAGCTGAGAGTTGAAGCTAAGGAGAAATGATGAGAACTGGTTCACCTGGCAATAGATTCCTATAAGGTTAGACAGGGGTTCCATACTTGTTTATTTGCCATACTTGTTTTTCAATTCTTTAGAATTTAGCTCTAATTGTTGATTTTAATATAAAGGACTTTCTCAGTCTGATTTGTTAGCATTCATAGTCCCAGAGATATCATTCTGGAAACAAACTGACAACAGAGAAACTCATTGCCATTCTTATAATTTTAATTTTCATGCTAGTGTCAATTCTTCTTTTCCCAGCATGAACCTTGTTTCCTTTGTATGTTCCCCAGACTCTGTCAATGAATTTTTAGAATTAACCCTTATTGTTTCACCTACACATGAATTTGCTAAATACTATCACTGCATCATATCCTTTTATTATTAATTTCTGACGTGCAAAAAATAGATTATTTCTTATAATTTCTTTTCATTATTTACTAAAATCTGAAAGGGTAAAAAATCTTCTATGTTTCCCTACAGGTGATTACTTCTGACTGTAGATAATCATTAGCTTGTGTTCAGCAGATGACAACTTATATAAGTGTCTCAGATTCTCAGAACTATGTAGAATCTAGTCTACTGAATCTCCTGACATTAGCAGAGCTATAGAGTCTATAAATATTGGGTCTGGGCACACTGGTAGAGTTTTTAAACTCACTAACCATATTCTCACACAGACTGGGAGGGCAAGGCCACATAGTACTGAAGCATCCAAATATACAAAATAATGCCTGACTTGGAGAATGAACTAGAGATACTTATTCAGGAATCCACTGAACAAATAAAAATAGAGCTCCTATAATGGCAAACAAGTTCAGACTGCTTTTTAAGCTAATGCTCTGTGGTATATATTTGTGTCAACAGAAAGAGAAAATTATTTGCAATGAATCAAATAATTAAAAGACTACCTGAAAAGCCAGCAATTCTGTCTGTGATTATGAGCTGTAAGATATTAAAGAGCAGCCATCATGCTTTCTATCATTCATCTTCACTGGGCTATTAGAAGCACATCTTTTACAAATGTCACTTAAATTAGAAGGGCCCTCATGTGAGGACTATTTGGGGAGGAATATGAAGGAGGCTGGCCAAAAATATCCCATGAATCCACACTGAGTATATTGTTAGCATTCACACCATCCCCTGCCATTTGGACATGGATTTAAGGAATTTGTGAGAGTAAATAAAAAAGCTTAAATATCTCTGGCCTCTATGTTTACTGTGGAAATAAACCATCCTGATTTATAAACAAGAACTATAGATCTTTTAATAGTGTTCAAGAAAAGTTGGAAAGTTAAAAAGGCAAAATGGAAAAATTCATGAGATGCAACAGCTGTTACAGTAATTATAATACTGGATCTTGATTACGAGAGAGATAAAGAAATACATTTTATATTTCAAGATTCTCTATGACAAACACTTACTGTGGTTGGGACCAGGAAACAAAATAGAAATAACTAATTTTTCCACACAATTCTTGAGTCATAAATTATGAATTATTCTCTCACAGATAAAGCAGAAAGGAAATTAATTTAGGAGATGAGGGCTATTTTACAATTCAGAGAGCTGTTTTATTTTAATTTGGGGAACATTACTTTTTGATGTCTGGCTTTACCAAACATCTTTCTTTTTCTAAAATGGATTCCAATTTCTCTGAAGAGGCAGGGAAAATGTTTACACCAAAGTTAAGAGGATATTTGAACAACACTGTCTCAAATGTCTGAGAAATTGCTGACCAGTAGAACTTCCTATGGTGATGGAAATATTCCATAGATGCATTGTCCAATATGGTAGCCACTGACCATGTATGGTAATTGAACACTAAAAATGTGGCTAATGTGACATAGGGATTTAATTTAATTTAGTTAATTTTTGACTTAAAGTAGTGCCACATGACCAGTGTCTAGAGTGTTAGGGTGGTCTAGCTAATTTGCCATTTCCCTTTCTCAGCATTTAGACTAGACCTGGGGGTTATTCTTTGTAAACTCCGTATTTCCTTTGTGAAATCTCATATGCTCTTTCCCATCTTAGCCTCAGAAGAGCTTTGAGCAGGCTCACTGGAGCAAATATGCACATTAAGATGATTAAAAAGCAGGAAATATCAAAGTTCAGTCTCCAATCTCTTTACCCCTTTATGAGTTTGCCTGTAGTCAGATGAATTCAATTCTCTAGAGCTTTTTTCAGGGACAACTTCAAAATGACGCAAATGGTTTGACTTTTCATGACTTTCCCTGTTATTATGGCAAGTAAAGGAAGAGTTTGATGAGAATGAGTTTACACAGAGAGAACCTGTGAAACACTGAGGCAGAATACGAAGTACTGTAGTGTGAGAGGAACTGCATAGAAAGAAATATCAAAGAAAAACAAACTCCAAATTTTTTTCATTACAGAGTAATGAAAAAGTAATGCAGTTTGGCACTACATAAAAGTCTTCCTTGCTTATCACAGAATGCAAGCTTACTAATAGTGGTCCCCAAAGCAGTTATTTCTGACTCCATTCCACAATTTGACTTAGTTTACTAGAAGACTCCTTCTGATCATCCCTTTTACCTGCTTATTATTTGTTGATGAATTCCTTTAACTAAATATTGCTTACAAAGTCAGAAATTTGAGACATTTGATTTTAATGACATCCCTTGAGAGAGAAAAGAATTGGCGTGCTGATGCATATGCTTCATCTAGTGAGATAGTGGTAATTTTTGAACTTAAGTTCTTGTCAATAACATTTCAGTGTAATGATTATTTTCCACATAAACACTTACCTGGAGGAGCAGATCAGAAGTTGGTTGGACTCTCTGTTGGAATAGGATGCTTAGCGTTCGATTCTGTCGTTCCAAATCAAACACTCTTGTTTTTAACTTCACACATTCTTCCCTTAGATCCTACAAGAAACACATTGAAAAAAAAATTATGATGGAAAGACACCTTTGCATATTAAAAACATATTTTATCTGATATTTCAGATACATTAGTAAAAATAGTATTTTTATTCTTCAAAAGCTCTAGAAATAAATCACATTCAATGCTTCCTTCTATAGCCCATTGTCTGATAGAATTATTATGTGCAGGAAAGACCAATTTTTTTTAAAGCACCTTGAAATCAGAAATGCATTAATCTTTCATGCTATTTTGAAGATGGTAAATCTTTGTGATATAAAGTCAATTTAAGTTTCCACCTATATATTTTGTCTTTTCACTGTTTTCATAAAAGCAATCATAAAGCACAAACCACCAGGACAATAATGTTTTGGCAGTGAATAGAGATTTGATGAACTAAAGAAACTATCACTTTTGATGGAATCTTTCTTTCATTTGTGGAAATGAGTGGAAATTTTCAGGGTTGTGGCTCATAGAGTCAGTGATGCTTTTAGTGGGTGAAAAGCAGCTCTGAAGCAAAGGCTTTAAAAGGCCACCTGAAACTTGTCCACCACTGGACTAATGGATTTCCATATCGTATAAGGTGTTTTGGCTTCAGTGTTGAGAAGCAGAAGAGCTATACCTGGCAACCTGCTGAAGCAGCTTGTGTGAGTAGTTCAAACATCAAAGAGACCTTTGCCCTAGCTTTCATGAGGGGAATTGAGGATTTTCTGGAACCCCACCCAAAAATTGTCATTTGAACTGATGTGTGATAAAGGCATGTGTAGTACTTACACGTCTATACACTTTGATGGGGTTCTAGATAGATCAGGTAGAATAAAGTCACAATGCAAGGTTCAAAAGTTGACCCTTTTCTATACTTCAAAAACTACCTTGCACTACTTAATGATTTTTTAAAAAAGGCTTTGCTTCCATGGATCAAAGACTGTTTATTCAATAAATGGTTCTGGGAAAATTGGACTGCTACATGCACAAAAATTGAAGCTAGACTACTGCTTCACACCATGCACAAAAACTAACTCAAAATGAATTAAAGAGTTAGACCTAAGATCTGAAATTATAAAATATATAGATGAAATTTAGGCAAAACACTACATGACACACATATCAGTAACATCTTTAAAGACACATTAGCTAAAGCAGAGAAAGTAAAGGAAACAGCTTGGACTATATAAAATTAAAGAGCTTCTATACAGCAAAAGAAACATTAGCCAAAACAAAGAGCACCCCACTGATTGGGAGAAAATTTTTTCATATAATACTATAATAAGGGACTGATCACAAGTATCTACAAAGAGTAATGAGGTTAAACAAAAGCAAAGTAAACAACCCAGTCAAAAAATGGGCAGAAGAACTAAAAAGACCAGGCATATGACAAGACGTTCAACATCACTTATAATCAGGGAAATGCAAATCAAAACCACAATGAGAAACCACTTTACACCAGTGAGAATGGTACATAATAATAATTTTTAAATAATAATTTAAAAACAAAACAAAACAAAAAACAGGAAACAACAAATGTTAGCGAGGATGTTGAGAAGAAGAAACTCTCCTGCAAAGCTGGTGGGAATGTAAACTGGTCCAACCACTATGGGAAACTGCGGAGCTTGCTCAAACTACTAAAAATAGAGCTTCCTATGATCCAGCTATTCCACTACTAGGAATCTACCCAAAAGAAACAAAAATATTAATTCAAAAAGACACCGGCACCCCTGTTTATTGCAGCACATTTTTTTTTAAAGATTTATTCATTTATTCATACAGAACTGGGGTAAAGGCCAGAAATGAGGAGGGTGAGTGGATTCACCAGAGACAGAGCGGGGAGCAGAACAGGCAGATCGATGAAGTACACTGCTGAGGGGAGCAGCGGGCGGGTCAGGAGAGGTCTGGCGCGCCATGTGGTCACCTCCGGGGCAGGCGGGGATCGAACTCATGCGGAAGTGGGTTTAGCTTCTCAGTGCTGTGTTTTAACCCGCTGCACCACCAGGGAGGGCCATATTGCAGCACAATTTTTAATAGGCAAGCAATGGAAGCAACCAAGATGCACAAACGTATATGAGATGACTGGATCAAGAGGATGTATTTACACAGTGGAATATTATTCGGCAATCAAAAGATAAACTCATGCCTTTTTCAGCAACATGGATGGAGCTGGAAGCGATTATGCTCAATGAAATACGCCAGAAAGTAAAGGAAAAATATTGAATGGTCTCACAGGAGGAATGTAGGGGAACCAAATAAGGAGTCAGGTGGGAAAAAGTAACTATAATAAAGTAAAAATCAAAATCATCAGGCAACTATAGATCAGAGACATTCTGTAGGGGAGGAGGAGGGAGAAGGACCATGACGGCAGTGGGAAGAGCACAAGGGACTATGATGATAGTGCGCAGATGAATTGATGATGAGATTTTCACAGGGAAAACATACATTGTACAAAAATTATGGGTGATGTAATAAGTACACTTAAAAAAGGGAAAAAGAATAAAAAGTAAATGCTAATGAAATAAAAAAAATAAAATTCACTAAAAAGAAAAAAAAAGCTTTGCTTTTTCCATGCAAAGAACATTTGTCTGCCTATACATTACTGCTACCCTTTTTTCTACTCTTTTTGACACCCACCTCCTTCTTCCAGTCCCAGTTTGGTTCTGTGACATACAATTGAAATTCTATCTCCTCTCTGACACTTTAACCCCCATATCCAAACTGCTCTCTTTTCTAAACTCCAGTAAGTCTCACTTTGTATTGATTTTATTTTTCATTCCTTGAACTTACCAAGTATATAGCTTGTTTCTCAAAAGGCAAGCACAAGAGGATATTTAAGTAACAGCACACAAATATTGTTCTTACGTTCTTCTATTCCATCAACAAGTGCAACACTAAACATAGTAGGAGCTAATAAATTGTACTATTATTTTGTTACAGAGGATGATGAAGTCAACTCTCTCTGGTATTGGTGTGACAGTTTTGCTTCTCAAGTCTTTTTAGCTTGTGCCTGTATATATTCTGACATGTGGAAGCTGCTTGTAGACCTTATTTAAAGCTTCGCAAGCACGAGAGAACATCAGTTAACTTTTATATTCAGATCTGAACAGGAGCCACAGAGGTAAATGGGTTTAATTCATAACCTTTTATCAACCTAGCTGTGAAGGCAGAGAAACTTTTGAGGTCTTTCCTGTGTATGAATCATATCCAGTCTTATTCCTTCTATTTACAGAAGGCAAAGAAACAAGTGAACTGTACTCTCTGCATAATGTGCATTCTACTCACATTTTGGATTAAATGGATAAAGCTTATGCAAATATGCTCTCAATTGATTGATGCCTATAAATGTAGACAAGAGACAATAAATACCCTATTCAGAATGAGGTCATTGGATGCGAGATGGAGGAGAACAGAAGCCTCAAAGGTAGGGCAGGAGTGTTTGTGCCCACATGAGTACACACAACACATGCTGGGGACATTTTAGGGGGGGTTAGAAACTGTTCAAATTAAGAAGTTAAATTTGTTTTCTTTATATAGAATTCAACTTCTGTCTGCATCTCATTCATGAAATTTTTGTCCTCAGCATGAAAGAACACTCTCTGCTACCAAATACTGTTTTTACTATTCTAATTAAGTAATTAAGAAAATCTGACTGACAGGTAAGTGTATTAATAGTATCTATTTGGTGGGAAAATAGAATCATTCTAATTTGCAGATGAACTATGGAACAAGCATACAAGTATGGATAGATGAGGGAAAAGGAGGTGCACAAGTAACAGCATCAAAAATTATTACCAATAGCTGAGAACAACGTGAATGTTCTTTAGATGGGTAAAACAAACAAACAAAAAAGAGGGGAGGTGAAAGAACAAAAATCAATGTACGCTATAAAGAGATTTTGTACAAGTGCCTAAATTACAATGGGCATAACTATTATTAAGGTGGTGAAAGTTCATTAGCAGTAGTATGGCTGATCGACCTAGAGAAATGTTCATCACTCTTGGATCATCTAGGTCAAGACAGTATGGGAAATGGAAGGTTTCAGGAACGTGATGCTGGCTTTACAATCACTGACAAACAGAAAAGATGGACAAAAATGTGTAAACATAAAAGAAGTCCTTGTGCTGTCTTAATATTCTTGGTTTCTTCAGTCAAGCTGTGGATGGGAACATGCCAGACAGCTAACATCCCAGAAACTGCAATCAAAACGATGCACATACACCCACCTAAACACAAGCAGAACAGATAGCTGGAAAGAGAGAGAGGGAAGCAGCAACTCCTTCCCTGATCACAACAGTGAGACCTGGGCAGGGGTTGGCAGCTAGCTGTCTTTGCTTCATCTGTGTCTGTAATAGGACCCACTGACATAAAAGGACTTAGACAGATTAAGGGAGAATGCAGGATGGCTATTCTGGCCCTCTCATCTACAAGACTCTCCTTCCCCTGTAAGACATTAGAAGCAAAACAACAATCCTCTTTCTGTTTAGATGCTAGTGTCAGGGTTAATGGCTTCTGGCAGGAGCTGACCATCTTCTCTCAAAGCCCTTTTTCTCTCTGACTTCTGCTCTCAGGCTTAAAGGAGACAACAATGGAAGTACAAGGTTGTATCTTCTGAAATAAGAAAAGGGAACATGATGTAAATAATTTTATTAGGTGTAAATAATGCCTAACATTTGCCTGTATTTATTCTCACGTAAGAATGTATAGTGGTGTTGGGATTTGAACAATTAGCACATCTGTTTCCTTTGCAAGCTGCTTGCCCCTATTAAGTGGAATTAGAACATAAGGAATTACAAATATCATACAGTTCTAAAGGAACCTGTCTGAGTGATTCCAAAACACAAATTCCCTGACTGTCCACATATGATAATTCTGGTAAATTTCAGAAGCACTCAAGGCTGAGTAAGATTCTGGCTCCACCACTATATCGTACCTCTAAGTACAGTTTCTTTATGCATTGTGAGCTCTATGGTCAAATATAAGAAAATGTGGAATATTTCAAAGAAGAATATATACTAAC